TCTTCTGAAGGATAAACAAACAACGTCTGATAGAGTGCAGTTCTGTTTACCTTACAGGTGATGAAGGCTGGTTAATGCGCGCTACCAGATTTGTAAAGTAAGCTCGTAACGAGCCACCTACCCCAAAATCTAGCCTGATTTTTTGTTCTGACCTTTCCTTTGGACAGAGGGATAAAACCGATAATTTAGAGCGTGTAAATTAGTTGCCACCGAGGAGCATCGTGTCTTATTAGCGGCCGTACGTTATGGCATAAACTAATTTAATATAGTTGGGCAAATAGTTTTTTTTGCTTAGAAAGAATTTGTTTTCCACGCCTAATCTACTCTGCTCAAAGGTGATTGCTATTTTAACCTCCCGCTAACTCGAAGTAACTTTTGATTCCCCTCAGATCATTTCTGTATAGTTTTACTCTCGATAACTCTAATCATGCTTTGAGTCCATAAAAAGTCGGAAAAAAAAAACAGTGTACTGGCGTCCGAAACATTGAATTTTGAATTTCCCATAGACGTGTTGTGGGCATTAAGTTTACTAGTGGAGGCTGATGTTGTCACAAATCTAACGTGAAACAGCTTGATTACTACTTCAAAACAGTAAATCGCATGCTCTATTTAGGCAATGTTTTGTTACGTTACGTTCTGATTTCTAATCTAGAAGTATCTTTCAATTTATCGTCACTTAACCTTTCTACAATTAAAGGTGATTAAAATGTTCACTGTTTTTTGTCCTTACCTCCGGCTATTTTCTTCGAGCTCCCGATAACTCGAACTGTTTTCGATTTCTTAATTGTAGAAAGGTTGAGTTAACTGTACCTATAAGGCTAATTCGATGGAAATTGTTTTCTGGAAAATCATCCAGCCCCACCCTTTGAAGTCATATGGATCTTTCTAGTTAACTGATTTGTGGATAATTTGCAAGTTTATTGTTGCTATTGGTGGCCGGAAACATGGCAATGTGTAGCAAAATAATAATGAATCAGTTGCCCTCGTACATGCGTTTGTTACCTCGCGCGTAGATTATTGTAATAGTCTTTTATATGGCTTGCCAGCTTCTCACCTGAATAAGGTTCAGCGCGTTTTAAATGCCGCAGCAAGACTAGTTTGTCGCGCACCACGCTACTGTCGCATAACCCCGTTGCTGTACGAGCTGCACTGGCTACCGGTTAGGCAACGCATTAGTTTTAAGATTCTACTATTTGTTTTAAAGGCCATCCATGGATTCGCGCCAACGTATTTAAGAGAACTTGTGTCAATTAAGAGATTAGGAAATTATAATTTAAGATCCTCCTCTGATGGTTTGTTGCTTGCAACGTCAACTTATAGAAGTAGGGTTACATTAGGAGACAGATCATTCCAGGTCGCAGCTCCGGCACTTTGGAATGTATTACCGCGTGAGATTCGTTCTGTTACAGATCTAGGGATTTTTAAGCGCCATCTGAAAACGCACCTCTTTAGGGAAGCTTTTTATTAATTTATTAATTTTTAATTTTTATCACGATAATTGCTGGTATTTTAACATTTGTTGTATATTTTAATTTTATCATACTATATTTTAAATAATTAGTAGTTAGATACCCTTTATTGAGTTATTATAGATAGGAATCATGTAATGCGCGCTTGATCATTTCATGGAAAGCGCGCAATATAAGAATTAAATCATCAATCATAGAGCTGGGTTTATTGATTTTGTGGGGATTTTGAGTGTCGATTTGAAAGGAAGGAATAAAATAGCGCGCGCAGGTTTTGATACACCCGTGTCGTTTCTTTGGACACCTGTCGCCTAAGAATTGTCACTGATCCGCTCACGTATATCTTATTCAAAAGCGTGCAGCCGAAATCTTTTCCAGATTGTAAATGAAAGGGTAAGTTTTGCATTGCACGCGAGCTCATTTGAAAGTCCAAGGTTGCTCGTCAGTTTTCAGAGCGCTTATAACTACAAATCTGCCTGGCGCTCTTGTCACGTTAAAATAATACAAGCACATAGTGGTTGCCAAGAGATTCTCTTACTTTCAAGGTCGGGATTTTGGAGCATTTTGTAGTTTGTGTGTGAAACTGGGATTAAAAGAAGGCAATTTTAAAAATAAATGAAATACGATAAAATCTAAAAACAAAACAGTTCAAAAAATTTCGCAACACAGGAGTCCATACTGAAAAAATATGAAAACATTTAAGGCGAATTAATCTCAGGTGAAAAAGGAAATACACTTACAATTCAGTGGTTGTAGTTGGAATGCAACTCCAGTTAGATGCTATGTTTCGATAACTACAGTCGTATTCGTTGCTAATTTGGCCAGAAAAAGTTATCCAACCTCTACTGTAACACAAGTGATTGCAATCTGTAAAAATGAATGGAGGCAAAATTGGTAGGGGAAATTTTCCAAAAAAGCAGTACTCCTCGATATGTGCATTGTCATACAGTTTAAGTAGACAATAACGAATTTTCATCTCTTCTCATTGATTAAGGGTGAAACCAAAATTTCCAATATTTGGTAAATCCTTATTG